AAAGGTACAAGAAAGAAGGTGAAGGTCACAGTTTGACTCTTTTCATTTAACCTCTTGCCTCATGGAAAGCTTTTTCTGGAGTTAGTACTTCTGGAGAGAGTGACTGGGGCAGTATCTGATCTTCAAGGTGCCATGCCCTTCTCTTGTCATCTTTCCAGCAGTAATCAATGGTGGGGAGAGCAAGGACTGAGGGGTCACACAGACCTGGGTGTGATATCTAGACCTCCTACTTTGCTTTCTTTGTGCTTGGGAAAGTTATCAAATCTCTCTAAACATAGCTATAAAATCGTGGTTTTAATACCTGCTAGTAAACCAATAGGATGTATGATAGAGAGAGAGAGGGAGAGAGATGTAGCTCTAGATGGATCTAGATGTAGATCTAGATATATATTGGTGTGTATACCGACTAGTCCTGACTTAGAATGGTTTGTCTTAGGATTTTTGCAGAAGCGATATGCATTCAGTAGCAACTGTACTTTGAACCTGTTTATGTTACCTTCATGGTGGAGGGACTTTACAGATGTGATTAAGTTAAGGATCTTAAAATGGAGAGATTATCCTGGATTATCTGGGTGGGCTCAATATAATCACAAAAATCCTCATAAGAAAGAGGCAGGAAGGCCAAAGTCAGAAAAGGGGATGTGACAGCAGAAGCAGAAGGATGTGTTTTGAAGGAGGAGGAAGGGCCTGAGGGCCAAGGAATGTAGGCAGCTTCCAGAATCTGGAAGAGCAAGGAGATGGGGTTTCTCTGGAGCCTCCAGAAGGAACACAGCCTGCTGACATCTTGATTGTAGACTCTTACAACTCATTTTTGGGGGCATCAGACCTTCAGAACTGTAAGATAGTAAATTCATTTTGTTTTAAAATCGTCAAGTCTGTGGCAACTTGTTACAGTGGTGATAAGAATCTTATATAATTGGAGAGGAAAGGTCCTGGACAAAATAAAATATGACATAATTATAAACTATTATTTTTATTTCTTTTTTTAAAAAGATTTTATTTTTTATTATCCATTTGAGAGAGAGAGAGAGAGAGAAAGAACACAAGCAGGGTGGTGGTGGGGAGGGGCAGAGGGAGAAGGGCAAGCAGACTCCCTGCTGAGCAAGGAGCAGGATGCAGGGCTAGATCCCAGGATCCCAAGATCATGACCTGAGCCGAAGGCAGACGCTTAACTGACTGAGCCACCCAGGCGCCCTAATTATTTTTATTTCCTCATCTAACTTTGAAATCATGTAAATACAGTGACCCTGTATAAACGTGTACACAACACAGGAACATAGGAAACAAGCAATTCTCAAGGCGTGCTCTCCCAATAGAGCATCAAAATGAAAGGCTCTCTATGCAATTAGCTCCCCATTAAATCCCTCTTCAAAGCATCCCATGAATGTGGTTTGAGACCACTTTCTGATCAGTTTCCCTACTTGTTAAAAGGACAAATGTATGGGACACATCCCAGATCTACTAAATCATTGTGCAAATCTATCCCAAGCTGAAGACAGTGGCAGGCTGACTAATGGTCCCTGAAGACATCTAGGTCCTAATCGCTGAAACCTGTGAATATTACCTTCTAGAGCAAGCAAGAGGGATTTGCAGCCAGGATTATGTTAAGGCTTTTGGGATGGGAAGATTACCCTGGACGATCAGAGTGGAACTGAAATGTAAATACACGTGTCCTTTATTTTTTTAAAATACTTTTGACTTTATTAAAGAAACTATAAAATATTGAATTATACATTTTTAATCACTATTATTTTAAGAATCAATCAAGTCTCTTCATATTGCCAGCATGTTTCCAATACTTCCACATATCCTGAATAATATATCTCTAAAAAATCTTGATATCTCCTGTAAGTAGGCTGTTATCGCTTTTCAACGTAGACATCAATGATACAATTTCTTGGGTTTTCCCTATTTTTTTCATTTCTTTTTTCAGTTTATTTGCCTTATATCTCTTGGCCATTGCCACAGGATCCTCCAGGATACTCTACTGTGCTCTCTCCAGGATACTAATTAACTCGCCAGTAATCCTCCAGTATTTCTAGGGGTAAGGGTAATTGACCTTCCAGTCCTCCCCACTCTTGCCATGTGCCCTATTCTATGCACATAGTCTTTGATGTTCCGGGGGAAATCATAATTATAGATGAATACATATGTCCTTTGAGAGAGAGGTGGAGAGAGATTTCACTGCAGAAGACGAGAAGGTGATGTGATGCTGGAAGCAAGTTGTGCGCTTTGAAGCTGGAGGAAGGGGCCACCTTGCCAGCAGAAGCTGAAACTGGCAAGGAAACAGATTCTTCCCTGAAGCCCCCAGAAGGAAAACAGTGTTGCCAACACCTTGATTATAGACTCCAGAGATATAAAACAATAAATTTGTGTCATTTTAAGCCACCAGTTTGTGATAGTTTGTTACAACCGCTATAGCAAACTAATACAGTGTCCAATTAATGACTTGCCACCATGATTGCTCTTATGAGAGATAGATAGATAGATGATAGATAGATAGATAGATAGATAGATAGATAGATGACAGATACATAGATATAATTTGCTGATGAACTCATTTATTCACTAGTACAGTACTTTTTTCAAATGAAATTCACTAAATACAAATAATATAAAGAGTGATATTTTGATATTACCATTTTAAGCAAAGACAATTTTCTCCACACAGGTGTCTAGCTGGGGACTATCATACAGGACAACATTGAACTGCAGGCTACGTTTCCTTCAAGAACATATTCCAAGCGAGAGCAACGATAGGGAGCGTCTTCTATAACCCTTCAGCTGGCTGGGTGACTGCACCATTTTTATGCATTTCAAGGCACTCTGGTGTTTTTCTCTTTTTTTTGGCCCTTAAAGATTTTTTTTCTCTTTTATCTTTATTTTAATTGCACTTAAGTGAAAGGTAATCATGAGCCCCAAGAAGGGTGAAAACTTTGTAAAGAAAATGGTTCAAAAGAAGAATGTGCTGTCCCAAAGAAAGGCTCTCTCTTGCCCATTTTCCATCTGCTGACACCAACCCCCATCCAGCTGCTCTTCGGGGAGGATGGTGAATTTTTTTCCACATTGTATTTTATGTGCAAACTGTGATTTATTTACTTTCAAGTTGGTATTGATTATAGAAACTTGTTTACATTACTCAAAGCAGTTCAGTAAGGGAGAGGTGTTTGCAGGCAGGCCCAAGAATCTGCATTGTTACAAGCGCCTCATAGAATTCTCTAAATGAAAATTGATGTTTGAAAACATCTACCCAGGTGGTTGGTTCTCTATCACAGTTCCTATTCTGTTCCCTTTCAACTGCTAGTGTTTGTAAAGGAGACGAATTAATATTATTTTCATGAGCATATTGTAATTATGAGGGCAAAAATTAGATTTTTAAAAAAAAACACATAACTAAATAAAAATGTTTTTTCTCAATTATCCAGTTCCTCACTCCCCTCCAATAAAGCAGTTGATTCCAAGCAGACTGCAAATCAGACAATTTCTGGATATTCAGATTGAAGGCATTCATCAGAGACACTCCTAAATGGTTGTCAAATTTTGGCAAACCTAGATCAGAGATAAGAGAAAAGAAATGCATGATTCATCCACATAGACAGGAAATATGATAACTACTGCAATCACTGTGCACGCACACACACACACACACACACACACACACACACACTAGCTTGAGTAATCATAAGCAGGAAGAGTGGAGCCTCAACTTGGAGTAACTTTTATTTTTATCCCAGCTTGGTACTTAGTTAACCACCATTTTATATTGTTTTCTTTCCCCACCTGCACCACTTCCTCTAGAACAGAAATCCTTACAGGATTTTCCCCATGTTTCTACTCCCTAAAGTTTATTCATTCATTCACCAACTATAGAGACACACATTCCAACATGTAAGAGCAGAGGGAACAGATTTTACCTTACTATGAAGTCATAAATGTGCAAAATGCACCCTGCTGATGCTAACACATAATTGGTAACATGGGATACCTGTGATGACCTTCATTTGAAAGAGACACTTGGGTCAGTGGTGAGCCATATAGACAGTCCCCAAACTCATAGGCTTTAAATTGAACAAAGAAGGTGGTTGAATGAAAATTGCATCATGGGATGAAAAGAGATGGACTTGAGAAGTATAAAGTGTGAAAGAATAGACCCCTAATCTAATCTACAATGCGCAGTGCAGAACAGGCGTGGGACGGCTGCTCCATTAATGTTTGTTGAGCTGAATTAAGTGCTTGCACTCCACCCCCTTAGATTTTCATCCTTGATTGCTGGAGGAGCATTATGAGTCATCCTTGCCTCTAGATGTTAATAACCATGTCTTTGGTTTATTAGCTTCTGGATATGTTTATGTGTGAGGGAGAGGGTTGCAAAATCTTTAATATACAGACACAGAGCTCTTGGTTATAAAGGAAGTATTTTAAGAAATGATGCAGCAAATACATTCAAATTAATGAATATTCATGGCATATCTACTATTCTCAAGATATTGAGATGGATACAAGAATGAAGTCAATAGTCCTTGATTTCATAGGTCTTAAATGTAACAGTGTATGTACAAGAAGCTGGGGAGGGGGCAGCAAACGGGACAAAAATAGAGGGAACAAGAGAAGAACAAGGTAAGTATGGACACAAATAATTAAAGGAGGGATCTTATTGAGGCTGTAGATGAGAGTGTGTAGGATAGAAATATCATCCTCATTCTGATCTCATTTATTTTAGGAGAGAAAAAACAAGGAGCACAGAACAGGGGGAAGTGCTCTGAAAGCAACAGGTGACACTTTGCCCTACAGGTCAAATATTGGCATTCAAAGAAGCCTTCCCTTTCCACATGTCCCCATCTCTCCCAGTCTGGCAAAACCTCCCTCCTGGTGTTCCCCTAGCCTCTGTGCTAACTCTGTACTTGCACTTACCATACTAAATGCGACTTCACTTGCCCTTTACATATCTCTTTAGACTCTGAGATCTCAAGGCCTTGGCATGGCAACCTTGGCACCTAGAGGCAATGTCTGACCATTAGGAGAGACCATAAATTTCTGTTGAGCAGAACTGGACATTCAGTATAGCATAGAATGTATCATAAGTTCTCAACAAAGATTTAGTAGGTTAAGTGATGCCACTTTAGAAATCAAGGGGTAAAGATTTTATTAACCATCTTTCCAAGGTTCTCACAGTTAATGTGCAAAGAATTACCTAGAGAGGTTGTTAAAAATGAAGGCCCCTTGGAAATTTGGATTCAGAAGAGCTGGAATCACGGTAGAAGCTCTCCAGTTGGTTCTAGAGCAGATGTCCCCATGCAATGCATTGGAAAACTCTGCTCTCATTACAGAGTTCTTAACAAGGTTTCATGGTTTCTCTGCCATCTTTTTTTTTTAAATGTTTTATTTATTTATTCATGAGAGTCACAGAGAGAGAGAGAGAGAGAGGCAGAGGCAGAGGGAGAAGCAGGCTCCCCGCCTAGCAGGGAGCCCAATGCGGGACTCGATCCCAGGACCCTAGGATCATGACCTGAGCCGAAGGCAGACGCTTAACCATCTGAGCCACCCAGGCACCCCTCTCTGCCATCTTTCTGATTAATTGTACAAGTTCATCTTAAAACCCAAAGAGAAGGGATTTGAACAATTTGCACCATCTGACAAGCAATGACAATGTTTTTACTTCTGAAAGTTGAGTTACAAAATGGCTCTTTGTGTGAAAATCTGTCCTTTAGACATTGTTGCTTAGTCCAGTCCTGAAAAGTGACACCTCAGCCCAGAAAACTGAGTGTGCATGTGAATCTGTCATCAGTGCCAGGCGAGGTGTACTCCTAAGTCTCTGCAGACCTAGAGAGTGACCTGCAGCCAGAGGGAAAAGGAAGTGAGTATCTTAGAGGAGTTCATGTCATTATTATACAAGGCCTAAAGAGTAAGAATTTCGTGGGTGGCCTCAGGACCCACTTTTCTTCTAACTATGAGGTTAAACAAATCTTAGCTTTATCAATGCCTATCCCCCAGAAACCTGGAATGCCAGGAAACAAAGGGAAACATCACTCAGAGTGTCAGGAAATCAATATTGGCTAGAGTTCTACACAAAATAAATCTTCCCTAAGTCCCATTGTGATTTCAGAATTAACACAATGATTTCATAAATAGGGCAACATCGTGTCAAGAGCAAAGGCCAGTAAACTAATTTGAATTACAGACATCCATCCATCTCCAAGCTATGGGAGCTGGCCTCTGGCAGCCATATTGAAGAGAAGGTAATTAACACAATCCATCTTGTGATGGGATATGGTGTTTTGCAGACTGTTTGAAATTCTGTGAGCATCTCACCCAGACCCCAGTAAGCCTTTGAAATATGATGAGCCATGGCAGTCAGCACACAGGGGGATCGTTAAGTGAGTGAGAGATGGCAGAGAAACCACACTTTGTAACTGAGACCATTTCATGGGCAGTTTGCCAGCTATTTGGGAAACTCTAAGATAAAGGCCTCTCAATAGGAGGTATTTATAAAGGGCAGTGCTATGAATCTATAAAAGCACTCTGAAACGATTTAAAATTTTTAAATTCATGTTATTTATTAAGTCCTACCGCCTTAAAGCTTAATTCTCTATTTTGAGGAATTTGTAGGAATTTAAGAGACAGGATGATAATGTTATTAGATTTTAGCATGAACAAGAAGTATTCTTCAGGACAAATGATCAGGACCTTTTCTGTATGTAGTCATTGCCATCTATTACTCAGCAAAAAGCATTCTCGAGCATAGATTATAGTCATCTCCGTCCAGTCAATACTTACTGAGCATAGATGGTGGATTTGACATAGCTGGCAAGGCCAAGAAATAACGACTTGACAGTGTCTTGGTTAAGAAAGAGAAAATATTTAAGAATTATTTTTAAAGGACCAGAATTGGAATAAAATACAAGGAATAATTTGAGAAGTGGTTACTTACAGGCAATAGTTATCATCAATGAGCATGTGAAGACACTGGCTAATATTCCTCCCAGAAACCATCTGAAACAACAGGATTTCTCAGGTTTAGCAAACTAATTATGCATTTCCAACATTCTTTTAGACTAACTAAAGGCTTGTGATTTACTTTAAGAATTACTATAACTACAATAATATAGTGTGGCATTGGCCAAAGGATAGACATGGAGGTTAATGGCAGAGAATGGAGAGACCAGAAGTGAACCCATATGGGTACAGTTAACTGAGTCTTATCAGAGGAGCAAAATCAGTTTGATGGAGAAGGATAGCCTTCTCAGCAATGGTGTTGAAACAGTTGTATATCCACATGCAAAAGAATGAACGTAACACCTCATATACATCACACCTCAACACAAAATTTAACTATGTAACTCAAAATGAGTCATAGTTCTGAAATGTAACCACAAAAGTATTAAATGTCTAGAAGAAACAAAGGAGAAAAGCCATATGCCAACTGCTTTACAACCTTGCCCAGAAAGTGTGTTAAAATTTTAGGTTTTTACCAATCTGATGGGTATTGTTTTACAGGGTGGAATTTCTTTTTTTTTTTTTTTTTAAGTTTTTATTTATTTATTTGAGACAGAGAGAATGAGAGAGACAGAGAGCACATGAGAGGGGGGAGGGTCAGAGGGAGAAGCAGGCTCCCTGCCGAGCAGGGAGCCCAATGCGGGACTCGATCCTGGGACTCCAGGATCATGACCTGAGCCGAAGGCAGTTGCTTAACCAACTGAGCCACCCAGGCGCCCGGGTGGAATTTCTTTTTAAGATTTTATTTATTTATTTGTCAGGGAGATTGAGAGGGCACGCACAAGCAGGGGGTGTGGCAGGCAGAGGGAGAAGCAGGCTCCCTGCTGAGTAAGGAGCCCAATGTGGGACTTGATCCCAGGACCCTGGGATCAGGACCTGAGCCGAAGGCAGACGCTTAACCGACTGAGACACCCAGGTGTCCCACAGGGTGGATCTTTTTTTAAAAGAATAATTTCCTTATTGTTTTTATTTTCAAAACATGAATCACTGAAAGAAATTATAAATAAATACAGAAGGGAAAGGAAAATATCACCAAAAAACTCCATTGGCCTAAAGCAGTCATTAATAAATGTTGATGAATACCCTTTTAAACATCTCTTTGTATGCATTTAAATTTTTTAATTGAGACTTAAGAGATGTACAATAAAGCACTTAAATTGCACATTTGGATTTTTTTTTTTTAACTGAACTCCTGTATTCCCTACCCAGATGAAGATACAGAATATTTCCAGCAGTTCTAACATTTCCTTTGCCATCCTTCCTAATTTTTCCCCCAGAATTAACCATTCTTCTTTTTTTTTTTTTTAAAGAGAGATAGAGAGGGGGTTGGGAAGGGCAGAGGAAGAGGAAGAGACAGAACCTTAAGTAGGCTTCATGACCAGTGCGGAGCCCCATGTGGGGCTCAATCTCACAACCCCGAGATCATGACCTGAGCTGAAATAAAGAATCAGATGCTTAACTGACTAAGCCACCCAGGCACCCCATTAACCATTATTCTTATAGCTATAATAATGGATTCATTTTGCTTTTTCTTGAATTTTACATGTATCTGTAATCATATAGACTCTTGCATCAGATTCATCCATGCTATTACACATATCAATAATTTTTCTCTTAACCAATCTCTTCCTTAAATAATCCTTTTAAAATTTTTGAATAACTTTAGGGTTACGGAGAAGTTGCAAAAATAGCACAAAGGGTTCTCATTTACCCTTCACCGAGCTTTCCTGAGGATTAGCATCTTATACTACTATGGCATACTGTCATAATGAAGGAACCAACATTGGTACTTCACATTCAACTCCACACGACTTTTGGACTTTACGGTTTTTCCCTAATTTATCCACGTTCCACGAAGCCATCCAAGATGTCTCATGACATTCAGTCATGTCTCCTTAGGTTCCTCTGGGCTGTGACAATTTCTCAGACTCTCCTTGGTTTTGATGACCTTGACAGTTTTGAGGAGTCCTGGTCAGATAATATATAGAACATCCTCAATTTAAGTTTTTCTCTGGTTAGACTGGGGTCTGGAAGCCCACAGAGACAAAGCGCCATTCTCATTACATTGTATCAAGGATACAAGGTATCAGTATAACTTATCCCTGTTGATGTTCACCTTGACCATCTGAGCATCTGAGGTCATATTTGCCAGGTTTTTCGGCTGTAAATTTCCTTTTTTCCCCTTTTCCATGCTGTTTTTTTGCAGGCAAGTTTCTAAATGCAACTCACACTCAATGGATGGGGAGTTAAGCCCCTTCTTAGTGGGGTGGGGGGAGTAGTATCTACAGGAACTAACCTAAGAGGAACACTTCATTAATTAGTCCCATGAAATAAAAGTTTCCATGATCAACTACAGTTTGGAAACACTAAGATAAATAAAGGTAATCATGTTTCTTCGCTATGTTATTTCACTGGGCCTATATTATGCTAATGCACATATGATTCTATGACTTGGGGTAGACAATGCAGAATTTTGCAAACTTACTTTTAACCACAGGACCTCCCCCACTTTTTGTTCTTTTGGTCCTATTGTGATCTAAAAATACTTGATACTACTTAAACCTCTTAATTATCTGGGATGCTTGTTTTAGAATACAGATTTTCACTAGATCTAAATTAGTATCTCAAGGGTTGAGATCCAGGACTCTGTATTTAAAAACACAACTCTCCCAAGTGATGTGAGGTATTTGGCCCTCAAGAGGTGGGCCTTGAGAGCAAGCAACACTTGCTTATCAGAGTTCAAGCACCCCAAAACCCCAGGTCTGGACCATTTATCCCTGTTTCATTGATTCAACAAATACTGATGAGCCCCTGGCACTGGGGTACAGATGTGAAGGAGACGTACAATGTCTCCACTCTCATGGAGCTCACATTCCTGCAGGGAGAGATAGATCATTAACATTTAAACAGGTGAACATATAATAAGTCATGTGGTGATAAATGCTCTGAAGAAAAGTAAAGCTAGGCGTGTATGATAGAGAGTGGTATGCTATTTATACAGGGTTGTCAGGGAAGGTCTCTCTGATGATGTGACATTTGAACAGATTCCAGAAAGAAGTAAGGACACATGTTATGAGGCTTTCTAGAGAAGGCTGTACTAGGCAGAATAAAGAGCAAGTGCAAAGGCCTGAGGCATGAGTACACTTAGGATAGAAGGGACTTGACCGTTGCCCCAGAGACTTGGGCAAGAAAAGAACAAGAATGGCATGCTGGACAGAGGGTAGAATGGAAACATGCCTATAATCAGGCAAGAGCATTATGTGATCTGAGATGCTGAGTGGGCTTCCCTGGAGCACATATTTTATGTTAGGATATAAAAATGTAATGAGAAAATGGAGTCCCAGTGGGGACTCCACATGCCCTTACTGGGACTTCAAGTGCCCTTGAACTCTAAGCAGGGTTACTCAGGTTTTATCTGTAGCAGGGAGTCACTGAGGACTGAAGGACCATATATAATAAAATCTAATTCCTAGCAACATCCATTGTCTTTTGTACACTTTGTGAGATAATGAGAGTGGGGAAGTGATAGAAAAGGGGCACTTATGGGGCACAGGCAAATGAATAAATCTTAACCACGGAGCTACTGAAAATGCATTGTCAAATCAGGTGAGGAAATTATCAATCAATTACAGCTTTATTAATTATGAAACACTGCTGTATGAAAATAAAATCTGAATTACCTTGCACATGCGTAGATGATGAAGCACACAGCCAGCAGAATTGCTGGAAAGGAGACCTCTCGCCACAAACTGGTTTCTAATAGGAAAAATAAAAATAAATGGATTAGAAACCATTGCTGATAATCTTGGAACAACAAAATTGTAATAACATTTCTTTTTTATACACCAAAGAAACCCCACAAAACACATTTTCAAATGGATGTCAGTTCAAGCAATTTGCCATAAGTAACAAGATAAAATTATCAAATGTTGTACAGACTCATTCATTAGATAATTTTAGCAAATAATATTTTTTTTTCTGTCTTTAAGAAATGATTATGCTACATAAACAGTTTGGGGCTTGCCTTTTACTGTAATGCTCGTGAAAGATTTTGTGGAATATATGCTAATGTCAGAAATCTCATTCTGGTGATGATGAGGATCATGCCTAAAATTTGTAGAGTGCCTTATAATTCACAAAGAGTCTTCATACCTCATTGAATCAACACAACAAACTGTGAGGGAGGTAGGGACCACTGTCATTTCTCTGCACACGAGAAGACCAAGACTGAGAGATGATGAAACTTGCCCAAGGTTACACAGCTCTGAGGTGTCAGAGCCAAGATTTAAAAACCATGTCTAGCCAGAACACAATGTTTTGCCTAAAATGGGGCAGGGAAAGAGAATTGCAACTTTGCATACTGGGAGTCTCTAGAGGGCAAAAAAGAGAACATATATTATGAACTATTTGTCCTTGGAAAACTCTGCTATTGGTAAAATATTTCAGTGTTATAGACCCACAGTGGAAATGACACGAAATCCTACAGCAGTTATAATCATAGGAGTTAAACCAATCGTGAACCTGAGTATTGCTCAAGTCACCTAAAAGAAATCAGAGCTGGCTTAAGGACGATCACATAAATATCTAAAGGAAAGGATAAACAGACCTCAGCTTAATTTCTGCCAAATGATTCAAAAGCTCAATTTTGCAGCAGTTGTTTAAAACTTGGAATGACTCTGTGCTGTGAATGTATTTATTTCTTCTATTTCTGCTATGAATGAAGATTGAGTCAGCTAACAAAACCTACTTAGTTCATGATGTGGGTGGAGTACTGAAGATTGGCAATGCAAAATATAGCAGTTGTGAATGATGTCACTGCGAATGTACAGTATTTCATGTATACTGTGAATTCAGTAAGTTATTGTGGGTTCAGCTGAACACTCAATCTAAAGTGTGTTTGTATTCTTAGCTGACTCTGATTTGATGTGGAATTTGGAAAATATTTCCTTACAGAAACAAGTCCAGCTTGACAAACTGCTAAAATCGTTAGACTTGAACAGTGAACAGAGACTGGTTTAAATTCAAATTCTACAAAGATATGATTGTGTGATTTGATATAAGGTATTCACTAGTTCATTGCATCAGTAGCCATTTACTTAGTATCTAGTTTGGTTTAGTTCAACTGTCACTTCCTTCAAGAAGCCCTCCTTGACTCCTTCAACTCCCCTGTGGCCCTCAGCTGCTCCTTCTCTGTACTCCCATCATCCCTCATGCATTTCCATCAGCAATCTTAACGTACTGAATTAAAATTGCTGTTTGTAACAATGGATCGTGTATCACCACATCAAAAACTAATGATGTATTGTATGGTGACTAACATAACATAATAAAATTAAAAAAAATAAAAATAAATAAAACTGCTGTTTGCTTTCTCTAGATTTCCCCACTTGCTTGCAAGCTCCGTGAAAATAGTCAGGATCTATCTGCTGTTCCTTAGTGCTACTGGGGTGGTGCCCCTGGGGAGCCTCGTCTCCCTTCTCTTAGTGCATGGTTCACTTGGAGACTGAGTTCCCTCCCAGCATTCGATCCACTTCTAGCCATTTGGAGCTTCACAGACTTATCAACAAAGTGATTGGCTTTGCCATGTAAATGGGACCCTTCCAGAACCATTGAAATTGGGCTTCTTATTGTAACTCGAGAAGGCTATAATCTCTTTCTGCTGGACTGGAATCTGGGAAGTTGCAGGCACAAGGCCACCAAGAACCACCATAAAGTAATCATAGCCTTTTTAAAGAGTAAAGCTGACATAGAAGACAAGAAACAAAAGAAGTAGAGACTGACAGAAATCTGAAATCTATGCTGGGAATTTTCATTAATTAACCAATAAATTTCATCCGAGTTGGGTTTCCATCCAGTGGAACTCAGAATATCCTAACTGACAGAGATGATGTCAGGCATGCCTGTGTGTCCTAGCAGGTAGAACATCACCTGGACTGCGTGCTCACAAGCTACCTGTGAAGGAGATAGAATAGAATCAGATGTAGAACTTGTCCGCTGGGCCTTCATAGCCAGAAGAAGAAGAGGAAAATCTTTTCTTTCTTTCTTTTTTTTTTTTTAAAGATTTTATTTATTTATTCATGAGAGACAGAGAGACAGAGGCAGAGGGAGAAGCAGGCTCCCCGCAGAGCAGGGAGCCCGATGCGGGACTCGATCCCAGGACCCTGGGATCAGGACCTGAGCCGAAGGCAGATGCTTAACGACTGAGCCACCCAGGCGTCCCAGGAAAATCTTTTCAGTAGAGATACATTCAGAGGGCTAGGGAAGCAGAGGGAAGTGTTACCTCCACCAGCCAAGAAGGGGGCAGACAAGACCCCACAGAGGTGTTCTTTGATTTGGGCCTTGAAGGAGTAGGGTTCTTCTAGGTACCGCAGGCTGGAGACACATTCTGGACACGACACAGCAAAGCACACGTACAAAGGCTTGCTTGACCTGTCTAAACCTGAGTATTCATATCTGTAAAATGGAGGTAGCACAGCTAATTGGCCTACCAGTCTTGCAGCACCTGCTCTGTACCAGGTGCTACGTGGGCAGGTCGGAATCCACAGATAACTGAGACATACTGCCCATCCTCAAGTAGCTCACAGCCTGGTGGACAAGGCACAGAAATAAATATGCAAGAGCAGTGCAGGAAATGGGCATGAGAGAGGGAAACCTTGAAAGCTAGAGGAGCACAAAAAGAGTCACTTAACCACCCCCCCCTTCCAGAGAACAGGGTGGGATCCCTGAAGGAGGTGGCTGTGGATCACCTGGAAACTGTCTAAACAATAAAAGTTGCTTTCTCTGTCATCCCAGCGCCTGGAAGAGAACTACAAAAGCCTTGAATACTTACCTAGTAGCTTTCCTGGGAACAAAATGGAGTGGGGGGATAGTGGCCTTTGGGAAAGGAAGGATGGTCAGTGAGGTGCATATTCATGGTTTTGTGAAGACAAATAAAGAGAAGATTTTTTTTTTTTCCTGTTTAACCTCAGTCTTATGTAATCATAATCTCACATACATTTTGAGTACTTAGGATACAGGACACATGATGCTAAGTGCTTTCCTCCAATTATTTTAGTCATGACCAGGTAGGAACTATGATATCTGCATTTACAGACGAAAATGCTGTTTTAGAGAGTTCAGTGAACTGCTTCTGAGTTACAGCTAACAAGTGGGGGCTGGGCTTTGAACCTTGGCAAGCTGAGGACAGAGCCGTGATGCCACGCTGTGCGCAGACACAATCAATCTGATGTTGGCAAACTGGAGGTTGAAGAACATGCTTGTTGAATTTATTTCAGACTTACTCTTGACAGGAAATACCAATATCTTTATATCTTTCGACTTTCCCTTGCCAGACTTCTGTCTTCCTTCCTTTCTTTTTCTTCTTCTTCTTTTTTTAAATTTTATTTATTTATTTAACAGAGAGAGACACAGCGAGAGAGGGAACACAAGCAGGGGAGTGGGAGAGGGAGAAGCAGGCTTCCCGCCGAGCAGGGAGCCCGATGTGGGGCTCGATCCCAGGACCCTGGGATCATGACCTGAGCCGAAGGCAGACGCTTAACAACTGAGCCACCCAGGCACCCCCTTTCCTTTTCTTCTTATAGAATATGTCACACACACAGCTAAGCATGAACATAAAATCACAGACAGCTGTGTATATATCACCCAGCTTTAGCAAAGCTTAACATTTTGCCAAATGCCTTTGGGGTTTTTAAAAAAGAAATAAAATGTTGCAAATCCAGTCCTTCTGGTGTCTCTAAGATGACACCCCAAAAGCAGGCACCTCCTCTGTGCATGCGTCACCCGCCGCAGCAGCACCAGGGTCCTCCCCTGCTCCCACAGGCCGACCCCGTTCCCAAGTGCACCTTAGTCATCTCTAACTCATTCTTTGGCCCTGAAAGGAAGAGTTATTTGGGTGTTGCAAAGATGAAAAAAAAAAAAAAAACTCACTTGCATGATCCAATATGTTCCCCAGGAAATGTTCAGAAGCCATCACATGAGACTGAAGAGGCCCGTCGTGGGAGTTTTGTCTCGAAGTCGGAGACACCGCATGGTTGGGGGAGGAGGCTGCATTCGGCTGCTCTGACTCCCAGGCATCCGTCAGGGAACGGTCAGAATCCCCTCCTGGAAAAGAAGGGCTCAGTGTGCGTGTGCCGGTGTGTGGTCATTGACTTTCCAGGCACAGTAGCCAATGGTCATCCCCATTGCAATGCTTTGGGAGTCCGATGGGAGACGGGTCTCTGGGTCGGGTGGTATTTCAATTTGTCCTCATCTTTGAAGGGCCCCAGAGGAAAAGACTCTTCAATGCAGAGACGAGCAAAGGCCAGAGGCATGAAAGTGTAGTGAAGGAGGCCCATTCCAATGTGGTTAGAGCAAAGGGACCCGGTGGGACATGAGGCTGGAAAGTGAGACTGAGGGTGGGTCACAGGAGGCACCACCTTCCCAGTAGAGGAGTCTGGAATTTTTTTTTTTTTTAAGATTTTTATTTATTTGCGAGAGAGAGAATGAGAGACAGAGAGCATGAGAGGGGGGAGGGTCAGAGGGAGAAGCAGACTCCCCGCCGAGCAGGGAGCCCGATGCGGGACTCGATCCCGGGATTCCAGGATCATGACCTGAGCCGAAGGCAGTCGCTTAACCAACTGAGCCACCCAGGCGCCCGAGGAGTCTGGAATTTATGCTGCAGACAGTGGAGTGCTGGAGTGGCTCTGGGTGAGGGTGCCACTGGACACGCACACTTCTGTGGCATTTTCAGGTAGATAAAGTAATATGTGGTTTTGGTATATGGTAAAATCTAGGTGGCCTTGATGATCATGAACTAGTAGCCTAAGACTCATGTATAGAAGAAGACTAATGGATAAAATATCTCACTCTTAATCCCTGAGTGCTTTGGGGGTTGTACAGATGGATTTGAAAGATGTGTGATGAGTACGTGAGCCTCTCTTTTTAAAAGATTTATTTATTTATTTTGGGGGGCGCAGGGGCAGAGAGAGAGACAGAATCTCAAGCAGCCTCCCTGCTGAGCGAGGAGCATGACTCGGGGCTTGATCTCTGGACCATGAGATCATGACCTGAGCTAAAATCAAGAGTCTGACAATCAATTGACTGATTCACCCAGGTGCCCCCGCCTCTCATCTTTATTGCACCAAACTATAGCAGAGCCAAGTCCTTCTATTTCTCATTCATTCATTCAGCAAACATTTACTGGATGTGATTCTATATGAGGAGTTGACCCAGCTGCTAGAATACAATTGTGAAGATGATGTCTCTGCCCTCATGTGCCTTATGTTCTGGTGGGGGAGAAAGATAATAGCTGTGAAGGACATTCTCCCTCTATAAAATACCTTAAAATGCTGGATAAAATATAATAAACATCTTAACTTTTTTTTTTTTTTTTATTCAAGGAGGCTGTGGTCTGGAGAGGGACAGACATACACGCCAACAATTAGGATGCAGTATGGGGTCATTGCTACCATGAAGGGCAGCAGAAGGCATCCAGTGAGAGTCTAGGAAGGAGTGTCTGAGTCCATCAGTGGAATCCAGGCAGGCTTCACAGATGAGATTGTACTTAAGTGAAAACTTGATGAGTAGGAGTTCTTCCAGGGAGACAGCAGGAAGATGGAAGGGCAGAGACAGAATAAATAGGAGGGGAGGAGGGGAAGGAGCAAGAGGACAAGGGAGAGACGAGGAGGAAAAGAAGAAAAGACATCAACCCATGCGAGAACATGAAGGAGGGTGTTCCCTGAAGTGCGAGTTCTCCTATGAGCCAGATAGGGGAGCATGTGAGTGTGGGAACTCCTAGGAGGTGATCTTGGCTGGACTGCTAAGCAGGGGTCCGGTCATGAAGGGCCTCATGGGTCACACTCAGTTGCTATGATATATTCCCAGGCAATTTGGAGCATGAATGTAATGTGAGGACTGCTCTGTGTTGAAGGGCTCGCTCAGCAATGAGAGACTCCCAGCTCCTGGGAATGATTGTGGAACCCCCAAAATACATGGGGTCCTCATATAACAGTGCTTCTTTTTTTTTTATTTTATTCTTATGTTAATCCCCATACATTACGTCATTAGTTTTAGATGAAGTGTTCCATGATTCATTGTTTGTGCATAACACCCAGTGCTCCATGCAGAATGTGCCCTCCTCAATACCTACCACCAGGCTAACCCATCCTCCCACCCCCCTCCCCTCTAGAACCCTCAGTTTGTTTTTCAGAGTCTATCGTCTCTCATGGTTCGTCTACCCCTCCGATTTCCCCCGCTTCATTCTTCCCCTCCCGCTACCTTCTTCTTCTTCTTTTTTTTCTTAACATATATTGCATTATTTGTTTCAGAGGTACAGATCTGAGATTCAACAGTCTTGCACAATTCACAGCGCTTATCAGAGCACATACCCTCCCCAGTGTCTATCACCCAGTCACCCCATCCCTCCCACCCCACCCCCCACTCCAACAACACTCAGTTTGTTTCCTGCGATTAAGAATTCCTCATATCAGTGAGATCATATGATACATGTCTTTCTCTCTTTGACTTATTTCACTCAACATAATACCCTCCAGTTCCATCCACGTTGTTGCAAATGGCAAGATCTCATTCCTTTTGATGGCTGCATAATATTCTGTTGTATATATATACCACCTCTTCTTTATTCATTCATCTGTCGATGGACATCTTGGCTCTTTCCACAGTTTGGCTACTGTGGACATTGCTGCTATAAACATCGGGGTGCACGTAGCCCTTCGGATCCCTACTTTTGTATCTTTGGGGTAAATACCCAGTAGTATAACAGTGCTTCTTAACTGGAGGAGATTTCTGCCCCCAGGGATATTTGACAATGTCTGAAGACGTTTTTGGCTGTTACAAATTGGTGTGTGTGTGTGGGGGGGGGTGGTGAGTTGCTACTGTCATCTAGTGAATAGAACCCAGGGATGCGGTTACCATCCTATAATGCACAGGCGGCCTCACAATGAGGGACTGTCCAGTCCCAAGTGTCAATAATGCTGAGGTTGTGAAACCCTGTCACAGAGGGAGCAGACCCAAGTGTAGAAGGAATGTTGATCATTAGTGCTCTTTCAGCAACTCTGGTAAGCACTTACGCGCACAGAACATCTGTATTTTCCTACATTTTCTATATCTTCCTGATTGCCCTTACTCTTGTCAAAACACCCTACATTCCGCCTTCACAGGGCAAATCATAATTTATGATGTCATAATTATTATATAAACACATACTATATAATACGTAATTTGTGTCATTTTTGTTTAATATCCGCCTCCCTTGCGAGACTAAAAGCACCATGAGAAAAAGTACACTTCACCTGCCCCAGCCCCAGACACCAGCAATAATGTGGAACGTATTGTTAGCATTCAGTAAGGTATGTTAATAAGTAGAGAGTTCTGGTAGGGGGGCAGGGAGGATGAGACATGAGAAGCCGCTATAACAACTTGGGCCACTGTAACAGGGTCACAGCCATAGAGACAGGGGTCAGTGCTCGCCTTTATGGAGGCTCAAGCTGATTTGAGGTTGAGGCTTTAAGCAGGGAGAGTCACCTCCTAGCCCAGGCTGGTGGGCTGACTCTGCATGTGGGGCTCCCCTCCCACTCAGCCTGGATACTGAGCAAATGAGCTGGTGCCTTTGGACCAGAGAATTTCTGCCAACCTTGCAGTCTCCCTCCCACCATCCCACCCACAACCTGCGGCCGCTTGACAAAACGCAGTCTGCAGAAGCATCTCTGCTGGTTGCCATAGAGAAAGGAAACAGCAGAAAGTGAAACGCAGGGATCATCCAGTAATGATCATGCTGCAGAGGAGGTCCTGAACCATGTGCCCTACAGTGCCAGGCACAATGGCCACGCTCCCAAAGCAACCCAAGCATTCATCAATAGATGAATGAATAAAGAAAATCCTGCCATTTGCAATGCCATGGATGAACCTGGGGGACATTATGCTAAGTGAAATAAGCCAGTCCTAGAAGGACAAATACTGCGTGACTCCATTTACACGAGGTACCTAAAATCGTCAGTCATAGAGACAGAGAATAGAATGGTGGTTTCCAGGGGCTGGGGAGCGGGGAATGGGGGATTGCTGTTCAATGGGTATAAAATTTCAGTTACGCTAGGTGAATAGATTCTAGAGATTCACTAAATAACATAGTAGCTATACTTAACAACTGTATTGTGCTCTGCAACATTTGTTAAGAGGGTAGATCTCATATTAATTGTTCTTACTACAAACACACACACACACACACACACACACACGGACACAGGGAAACTCTGGAGTGGTTGGATATTCCTAATGTCTTGATTGTGGTGATGGTGCCACAGGTGTTCACACCTGTTCAAACTCATCAAATTTACACATTAAATATGTATAGTTCTTTGTAAGTCAGTTATATCTCAATAAAGCTGTTAAAAAAAAGAGAGAGAGAGAGAGAGAAGCCTATCTGGTCAAATTCACGTGGAAGCGAGAAAGATCTCAGAACTTTCACGGCCGATTATTTCCTGAAGAGTGACGCTTAACTAAAATCTGCAGAGCTGTGGATGGGAGACATGTGAGAGTAATCAGAATGTCCCTGTGTTCTGCTGCCTTGTTAAACTTAGAGCTTTGTACTGGGAGCTGGATGAACTAAAAATGTGTCCTATGTGGAGTACTGGACTATTATGCAGACTTTTCTAGAAGAGATGGCATTAAAGAAGGAAACTACAAAAAAAATCTTAACATTAAAGAATGGTCAAGGAATTTTCATCTGTGGGAAGACATGGTTTGTCCCCAAATGTACACTTTCCCTAACTGACATTTAATTTTTGTCTCCAACCTTAACAATAAATGAGAGGATCCTAATGCAGATATTTCAGCAAACAGCTCTTCTGTATTACATTTGAAGATATTAATTCTATTCTGTTTCTCCCGATTTATTTAAATTCAATCTAGCTTACTTCTGTTTTAAAAGGGTGTGTTTCTTCTAAGCGTATTTCCATATCCTTGCATATAAAATGGGCATTATTGTTTGCCATGGAGGGAAACACAAAGCCACATACAGATGTTGCCATCAAAGATATTTATAGGAGAGGCATTCGCTCCGGAGAAAGCCACAGACCTCTAGCTGGGAAGCTTTGCCTGAGGTTGTC